ACAAATAAGATGGTCTAGCTATCATATTCCTAGACATATTGCACTAATTCTGTGTTCTTGGGTTAGTCACTTAACTTTTCAGTGCCTCAGTTTCTTCACATGCAAATGAAGGACTGGAAGAATAGGTGTTCTTGAACTTCTTTTCCAGCTGTAAGAAGGGGAGTAGGGGGAGGCATCATGCAGATCTGTAGCAGACCCTGTTGATTGACTAACTCAACAGCCATTCCCAGCCCCTTCTCCCTTGCCTGCCTGTACTCTGAAAGAGGCTGGAAAAGCTCAATATCCCCATTGGCAGCCTCCTTTGGAGTTAAGGGCTTGCAATATTACCAAATTCTGGATGAGACATGAAGGGAAGCCTATTGGGGTGTTTCTGGAAAGCCTTTTCCTAATGAAAGAAAGAGGCACAAGAGAGAGTAAGCTCACTGGGTACTATCTTTCCCTCAACCCTGGCTTCAGTGCAGACTTAAGGCCTGGCCCCGTGGGGCAGTGTGGTGGCTTTGTATTGCATTGACCCAGCTAAGCAGGATCTGTTGTCCAGAATCTTCACATAGTTTCAGGTCAGGGTTGCCCACAAGAGAAATGTTGCATAAGATCTAGGAGGCAGCAGCAAAGCAGCAGCCATGGTTTTTATGCTCTGAAGGACAATGCTCCAGGCATGTTGGCAGCTCTCACACCTTGTCACTGACCTGCGGGCTCACCTTGCTGGCATGGGGCAGCACCCAGACTTGCAAGTTCCACCAGCTCCCACCAGATCTCTTCCTTCAGTTTCTTCAAGTCCTGAGCCAAGTGCATCTGTAGCTTCGTACAAGGTGCCAGCTTCTTCTGTAGGACACCTTGAAGTCAGAGGTAGTGAGAGACACATGCAGATCCAGTTTGTCCTCTAGAACGTTCATGAATTCCAGTTTGTCCTCACAAGTTCCAGTCTGGTCTTTCTCTCATCCACATCTAGCTTTCTACCCTGTCTGCCATTCTGGCTGACCTACAGTGACCTCAAGCTCATTATTAGAACCAAAGAAAACAAGTAGCCTTGCATGGACTCCTCCACGAGCTCCCACACTGTATAGCGTCTAAGGCAGCACTGTCTGGTAGAGCTTCTGTGATGGTGGAAGTGTTTTTTATATGAGCTGCACAATATGACAGCCACTAGTCACATGTGGCTATTGAGCATTTGAAATATACCTAGACAATAGAGACACTAAATTTCTATTCCTACTTAATGTTAATTAATTTAAATGTAAATGTTAATAGCCAGATGTGGCTAGTGGCTGCCATAGCAGATGATGTAGACCTAGTGCCTGGTGCCTAAATTCCACAGTCTTTATCACCCATCGTGGCTCTGTTTCTCTGGTTGAATCCTGACTGATGCAGGCAGCAGCTGCTAACTGCTTGGGGAAGAGCATGGAAACACAAAGCCAACATACAAGGAATGACAGGGCTGAAGGACAGAAAGAGCCTGAGTCCTGGTGGCCCCTCCTGCCTGCAACCTCCAAACTTCTTATGTGAGAAAAAAATAGCCCCCTTGTGGGCAGTGGACTATCACTGTGTCCTTCCAATAAATTCTCTCTCTCTTTTAAGTGGCTCTGTTTCTTATAATGAAGTGACATAAACCTTGTCTGGAATACCACAGGACACAGATGTTGTTCTGAGAACTCAATTTGGAAAAAAAAGAATGTAATTACATTGCATAGGAATCATAAAATATAGATTTAAATTAGCCTTTTAAAAGAGGCAAATGACATAAATAGAACTATGAACAAGAATTAATGTTAGCTTTCTCCCCAAGCAGTTCTCTTTTCCTTCACATGTCTCTTTGCTTTCTCTGGAAGAATGACCTACAGTGAGTAACCTGACCTGCCTTCCACAGTCCTTCTTTGAGTTTGCAGATACATAAATGAAAACTGTGAACTTTAGATGTGAAGAAGTATATATTAGTCAGGGTTCTTCAGAGAAGCAATGGATATATATAAAGATACCTATTATAAAGTATTGACTTGCACAATTGTGGAGGCCGAGAGGTCAGACCCAGTAAAGCTGGTGATGCAGTTCGAAGGCCTGAGTGCGGAAGAGCCGTGATGCAAATTCCAGTCCGGTCTGAAGGCCTGAAAACCAGGAATGCCAAGGGCAGGAGAGGATCATGTCCCAGCTCAAGCAGTGAGACAGACAGCGAATTCAACCTTCCTCTGCCTTCTTAGTTCTACGCAGGCCCCTAATGGATTGGATGAGGCCCATCAACACTGAGGAAGGCTATCTGATTTACTCAGGCCACCAACTCAAAGTCCTTCCAGAAACACCGTCACAGACACGCCCAGAGATAATGCTGAACCAGCTCTCTGGCCATCCCATGGCCCTGCCAAGCTGACATATAAAATTACCCATCACATGGCGCTCCCCAAATACAATGACCCAACAAACAGGAACTAAAACATTAGCAAAGCTCTATGACTCAATTCTAGAATTGAGGGCGTTAGTCTGTTTTCTGTTAAGAAATTCTAGGCTGTATGCAAACTGAAAATGTACTAAGATGCTGACACTAAAATTAGAAATGGGAAGAAGCAGCTTTAAACTAAAAAACTGGGGGAACTGACAAGATAAGACAAGACGTGGACTTACAGGAACAAATCTGATGGTCCAGCTGAGGAACTAGGGATGGCAAAGCAATTAACCCCTCCAGTCAGAGACGTGGCAATACAGAACACAGAACTGTTTACACACACGCATGCACGCATGCACGCGCACACACACACCCTCTATCCAAACGCTGAAAACAAAAGGAGTAATTTGATGTTTGGTAACAAGTAAAGCTGAGGCACACAGTAATTGACAAGATACTGGCCCCCAAGATTTTTAGGCCCAGGCACCCCACTCTGGTTTTCCTCTTACCACATACCTCACTACAGGTGAGGCAACTTAAGGGCCAAGAGGCACTACTTACCCAGACCCCATGCCCTTCCATTCTAGACCACCTTCCAGGTACCTGAGATCACGGAATTCCCTGCTCAAATGTTGGTGCAGAGCTCACTTCCAGGGCTTGACACAGGTATCTTCCCCAGGTCAAGCCACCCAAGGGTCAACTGCACGCTTGGAGTACATGTCCCCAGGCCCAAGGGGTTGCTTTTTGGGGAGAGCTTGGTCATCAAGGACTATGTTGTCCACATACTCCTGTGCAAGTCTCCTTGTGGAGTCAAGGGTAGAGGTTAGTAAGAGAAAGGGAGAGAGGCCTGAGGGGAGGAGCTCCAGTTGCACTCTTGCTCTGGTACTTACAAAAAGCAGGGGCAGGCCTGCCACCAGGTACCCATCCCAAGGAAAGCTACGGACAAATATATATGAAAAGTTCATTGTAGGTTTTTGTTGTGCAGGGTCTTATGAAAATAGAAAAGATATTTCAAAAGGAAATCAAGCACTGAAAATTCAGTGAATAAAAACCCTTTAGTTAATAGTAAAACTGGAGTGTAGAATTAAGCTGTACACTAGACCCATGGTGTTTTCCTACCAAGAAACACTTGATTTACATAAGGTTTGCCCTTTACTTGGGGTGAGATGGGGGAATGGTGGGTGGGGGAGTCATAGAGGGGTGACCAAGTTGGTGATAAGGTGTTACTGACCTGCAGTTTACAGTCTGAAAGAGAAACTCTAGGAGTTAAGATAGATCCCCTGCATGCCACACAAAGTTTAGGGATTGAGGTAGTGGCTGCTGATATGTGAAAATGGGTGGGGAGGCTTTGCAAGTGACCCAATATATTATGCTTGCCCTATTGGGAACCCCATCCACATTCCAATCCCCAGGCCAGAATCAAGGTGAGCTAAAATATTCCTGGAGAGGAAACAGGCTGTAGCAGGGGGTGCTCTTCAGCAGGCAGTCTTTCCTTCACCAAGACAACTTGCTTTCTTGCCAGTCTCCTATCCTTCCACTTCCCAGGCCACTTCCCTTCCCCAGGTAGGTAAGACCTTTCTTGCAGAACACAGTTACCTATGTTGTCTGCCAAACTGGATATTTTGTTGGTGTTGTTTTAAATATCAGCTCATTTTCACAACTCTGCAATTATGACAATATGTGGTATGCAACCATTATTGTCAGTTCCAGTCTGAGGCTGGCCACTTAGCACTTTACCAGGAACGGGTCTTTCCTGACAAGCCCTCCCTGGTTAACTGGCGTGGAAAGATTAACTGCTAGACGACACATCAACGTTTTCTTTCAAGGTTGAGCTTGAGGAGAGAACAATGATGTGCAGCAGTTTTCACGCTGTGTCCACAAACACAATTCTACACAATTACAAGGAACATTCCTTTTTCTTCTTTTTTTTTTTTAATGGTTGCTTAAACCAGTGGTTATCCGTTATGCTGTTGACATAGGAAAAGGTGAAATGCTAGCAACCGAATCAAGGCAGCAGAGCAACAGGCAGCTCAGTGGCGAGGGCTGCGTGGTTTGCTTCCTTGGATGGGCAGAGTGGTTTTCACTTCCTACCAATTTCTATCCCTCCCTCTTAGTGTATCTTCCTGGGAATGGTAAAACAAAGCGAAACATATTGGTCTTACTTCAAGCTGTCTTGGTGTCTGTTGTTCCCTTGTTCTGCACATTTCATGGGACTGAGTTGTCCTAACTTCTCTATTGTTTGGTGAGACTCGTCGCTCTGCTTGTTGACCCGGCCTTCTGGGCATTCTGCGTAGACCCCGCAAGTGCCCCCGCACTCCCTCCCAGCCCTGGGTTGGGGCTTAACGCTTCCTAGCCCAGGTCAGACGGCCGCACCGCTTCCAGCACTGGACGCCGGAGGAGGGAGGAACGCAGCTCCCGCGCGCGCGCCTGCCCAGCGCCGGGCCGGCCGGTGCTCGGACCCCGCCTCGCCCTCTCCCCGCCAGCGCGCCCCAGGGACTCACGGCGTCCCCGCGAGCGCGACGCGTCCAGCCTCGCGGGCGCTGGCGCAGGCGCTGGCGCTTGCGGGACCGGGACACCACCCCTGGGCGCGCGAGGGGGGGGAGCCGGAGGCCGCGGCGGCTCCCTTTTGCACTGCCTCCAGCCCGGCCGGCGCGGGTCGGCGTGGGAGCCTCGAGAGCCACCCCGATGCAGCAGTGGAGCAGCCACTTGGCGCGCGGCGGGAGACCCGGGGCGAGCTTGCCCTCGGCGCGCGCCGGGGCCGGGAGGGGGTTCCTCATTTTGGTCCCTCCCCTTTTCCCTCGGAGTCTCGGAGCACTCCCGCTCTGAGACCCTCCTCCTCCCAGGTACCCGCGGGGAAAGGCGAGTGCATCTCTCCTCCAGGCACCCCACCATGGGCAATGCCTCCAATGACTCCCTGCCCGAGGACTGCGAGACTCGACAGTGGCTCCCGTCGGGCGAGAGTCCAGCCATCAGTTCCGTGATGTTCTCGGCCGGGGTGCTGGGGAACCTCATCGCGCTGGCGCTGCTGGCGCGCCGCTGGCGGGGGGACGCGGGGCGCAGCTGCGGCCGCAGGAACTCCCTCTCCTTGTTCCACGTGCTGGTGACCGAGCTGGTGTTCACCGACCTGCTCGGGACCTGCCTCATCAGCCCGGTGGTGCTGGCTTCGTACGCGCGGAACCAGACCCTGGTGGCACTGGCGCCCGAGAGCCGCGCGTGCACCTACTTCGCTTTCGCCATGACCTTTTTCAGCCTGGCCACGATGCTCATGCTCTTCGCCATGGCCCTGGAGCGCTACCTGTCCATCGGGCACCCCTACTTCTACCAGCGCCGCGTCACGCGCCGCGGGGGCCTGGCCGTGCTGCCCGCGATCTATGGCGTCTCCCTGCTCTTTTGCTCCCTGCCGCTCCTGGACTACGGGCAGTACGTCCAGTACTGCCCCGGGACGTGGTGCTTCATCCGGCACGGGCGGGCCGCTTACCCGCAGCTTTATGCCACTCTGCTGCTGCTCCTCATCGTCGCGGTGCTCGCCTGCAACTTCAGCGTCATCCTCAACCTCATCCGCATGCACCGCCGAGGCAGGAGAAGCCGCTGTGGACCCTCCTTGGGCAGCAGCTGGGGCGGTTCCGGGGCCCGCAGGAGAGGGGAAAGGGTGTCCATGGCAGAGGAGACGGACCACCTCATTCTCCTGGCCATTATGACCATCACCTTCGCCATCTGCTCCTTGCCTTTCACGGTAAGTCACTCACTTTGTTTCCCCAGCCCAGCTCTGTGCAGACTTGTCATACTCTCTCCTCTCACCCCCCATCCTTTCCATCGCCCTACAAACTTTTGCAGGTTGTAAAAATATGCTCTAATTTGTAAAGATCTATAGTCTTCCTCTCTTGCTTCTCACCTTTACCCCACTTTCTCCCTCCCCCAGTCCTGGCCTATGGGCATTGCTATGCTAGTGTTTCTCTTGCAATAACACAGACCCTCAGAAAGGGAGCCTTGGGCCTGGGCTAAGCCAGCCCGGACCCTCATCCTGGCCTTGGGACATTGTCCCTTTCTCGCCCTCGGCTAGCCTGGCTTAGTAATTGAGGAGAAGGCAGCCCCTCCCACCATAGGATGGTCGTCACTGTTAACAACCTGACTATCTTAAGCTGCAGTTTGCCACCCTGTACCTCCCACCTGTTGGTGCTAGTTCTCCATGCTTTGCCTTCTGTTTCTGCCAGGGCAAAATGTGGTGCTCAACCCATAGCATTCTAGCTGCCATTGGAAATGGTCCCAGATAAGAAGCATCCCTGTTGCAAAAGTTCAGAACTTTCATTATTTGTGTGGAAAGTTCAACAAACATCTAGTTTACAGGTTTCCCAATTTATATATTTGATTGTAACTCTTTGTTGCCATGAAAATTTATAATAGGTCCATAATGATAATGATAAGGAAAAGACAGGTGCTTTCTGGAACCCCTTGCTAAGCTTTTGAGATCCCTCCAGAAAAGGAATTTGTAACCTCTTACAAAATATCCTCTTAATGTCACTGTCAGAAATATCTACAAGTGCTGTTCAGCATACAGTCATGCACTATATGAACACAAAGACACATCCAGGAATGGCTATGTGAGGAACGGAGAGTGGAGCTTTCTGGAGAGCTAGAGGACAGGAGCCCAGGTTCTGGCATAAGGGCTGCCCTGGTTTGGGGCAACTTCAGCAGTTATTTCTATGATGCTGTGGGTTCAAGCCTCTTAATAGTGTAATGTTTTAGTAGGTCCTGGAAAATGACTGAGAATGTGCTGGCTCTTACAGCAGGCTAGTAATTGGGAATGTGGGAGTATAGCAACTCCACCTCCTAGTCTTCAGAAGAACAAGGCTGACCCTGCAGGGTCAAAGCAATTAATAGTAGCAGTTTCACCTGCCACAATCTTGGAGAAAAGAAATAGATGGACAGTGCCTAATATTAGCAGGTCTGACCTGTGGAAGCTGGAGAAGAAGTAACTCTCTCCTACCTCCTGCTCCTGGTTATCTTCATCTGCTCACATCTTCAGAGATGGGAAAGGACACAGGACCCCGAGAGCCTGGATATGAGTCCCTTCTCCCCACCCTAATTAATCCCCTTTGTTAGCTATGTTTTCTTCTCTCCATCCCTCACTCTTTTGCCACATCATCTGTCAGGGCAGTAGCTGCTCTGAATTAGTAAGTTATACTTTGCGGGGGAATGAGATGGAGTACGTCAAAGGCCAAAGGCGTCCTCTTATAAAATGAAGTAGAACTGTGAGAGGCTGCGAGGGCCTCCCATTCCACCCTGAGCAGGGTAGTTTGTGTAACAGAAATGCTGTGATGTAGAAATCAACATGACTTCTACGGTTTTGTTTTATTTATTGGTGGAAACTTTCAGTTATGTTAGTGACAAAATCAGCGTTTGGGGGTCAGGACTGGCATATAGAGCATGTATCCATGAAAAAAGCATTTCAGGGTCCACTAAACAACTTAGAATTCAACTTGGGGGGCAGAAACCATTCCTGAATTAGGGAGTGCATAATTAGGATGGTGGAAATTAGGATGTCAGTTCTTGGAGTTTTATCTGTCATCTGTGAGCATACACAAAATAATAACCCCCACCTCCAGCTACTTAAATCACTTGGGATGGTCTCGGGGTGATCACATACTTGCGAAACGGGTTGTCATTGCCTTTTCTGAGTCATTTACACAGGCAAGCAAGAGGAAAAATGTTCTCTCCTTTGACCATGACTGACCCACTGCATAAACTGTATTTTGTAAAATAAAGGCAGTGATTTCCAACAGATTTCCCCCATTTTCACATAAATTTACCTTTTGTCATGAGAACTCCATCATTGTCACCTATTGCTTTTTAAATCTGTGCGCTCGCGTGTGTGTGTGTGTGTGTGTGTGTGTGTGTGTGTGTGTGTATAATTCTTATTCCTCTCTCATTTAATATTAGGCTATGGGCAGCTCCAGAGTTGCCAAATAGAAAGGGATTAGAGACAGAAGTCTGGTTAGAAAGGGCGAGGGAGTAGAAGGTCTGCTTTGAAGTTGTATTTTTGTTTCAATTTCCTGTTTGTGGCGGGGCGGGGAGGGCAGATGAAGATTATGAAAGGGCTTGAGCTCCCCCAAGTAACCCCTTAGCATTGACACTATCAGCAAATATTTTCTAGGTTTGTTTCTGCATATATTTGTGGCAAAGATTCCCGAAGAGCAGGAGAAAATCCTAGTATGAACATAATAGGAAAGCTGGCCACACTGATTTCTTACCTGGGAACTACCATGACAACATATCCAGATGAATTATAGATAACTAGGCACAAAACAGAATTAAAGTATCAAGTCATCTCTTAATTAGGAAGTTTACATTGATTCATTTTATTTTGTCAATATATCATTGGTAATAATAATATCTTTCATTTACATAGCACTTTAAATTTTATGAAGTGCTGCACTATCCCAATTTAAGTAATTTCTTGAGGGGCTTGTCTGAAAATTCAACACTGATGAGTACTGTTTGGTTCATACATTCTGCTATTTCAGAATGCTTGGCATGTGCCCTGGTGTGTGTGGGGGGGTGCTTTTCCCCCCAAGTCCTTTTAATCTACTTGGCCCACACTAAAATTGTGTCAAAAGTGACCTACACCCATCTGCCATGTCAGGGATAAATGGTTTCCACATATCCTAACAGGGGGCTGTGTTAGACAAGGCAAAGGCTTATGATGTTGCCTTCAGAAATGCTCCTATTTCTCTCACAGAGTGCACACAGTCCAATAGAAATACAATGTGAGCCACAAATGCAAGCCACACATAGAATTTTAAATTTTCTAATAGCCACATAACAAAAAGTAAAAGGAAACTGATAAAATTAATTGTAATTATATATTCTATTTAACTCAGTATACCCAAAATATTATCAATTCAGATGTTATCCATGTAAAATAATTATTAATGAGATATCCCAACTAATTTTTTGTTTGTATCCCAGATAGTAGCAGCAATATGCTCTATCTCTGCCCATTCCTTCCTCAGATAACAGATGCTTTCTATGTCCCTCAAAAATGGACCAAACCACTGGCCAACCAGAAGGAGAGTTCACAGCTGTGCCCAGTGAGACACCAGCCTATTCCACAGCCCTCCAGTAGTGGGAAGAAGAGGGGAATGGGAAATTTAGGAAACCTGGAACTACTAATGTCAGCCATCCATCCCAAGGTGGGGGCATGTTGGAATTACTGCTTTCCTCCAAGGATACCAGGCTAGGACTTCTGATGTTTGTGAAGTAAAACTATAAAAATGTTAAAAAAAAAATACCCTGAAATGAAGTCAAGTTCAATGTCATATATCAATCATTATTATCAACACCAAAATGGCTAACACTTTCAAGAGCTAATTTTTTACATTAACCCATTATCTTCACAACAACCTAGAAAATAGATAGTATTATGATCTTCATTGTACAGCTGAGGCGAATAACGTACCCTGGGTCTCACAGCTAGTGGGTGAGGGAAGTGACTTCAAAGCTAGGCAGTTTAAGCCCAGAGCCTATGCACTTAACCACAATACTGTCAAAGAGAAAGTACTCATCTCAGGAGTAACATATGAGAAGATTAATCTAAGATTTCATAAGAGGCTTGTGAGGATGTTAAAAATTTTTGGACCACTTCGCCTCTTAATTCCAACTAGTTAGCTTTAAAAATAAAATGGCAAAGACTGTTTTTCTCCATGTCAGCTGCAGGGACCTGAGCTGGGCCAAGTGCATGGTTCCCTTTCTCTTCTCCACAGACTTATGAAATAAAAGGCCGAGACTGAGATTTTAGGAGATTGGCTAATGTAAATGCTGATCTAAATTAAGAAATAATCAGATTACCCTTCACATAAAATCTTCCATTGGTACACATAAAACATTTCTTAAGTGATAAAAAAGCATGTGGTGTTTGGGAAGTAACATTATCTTGGCTGTCCAGTATGAAATCCTGCATGAGACTAACAACTTATTCCAAACTGTTTATTCACGAAAGGGATATTGTATAAATTAATAAATTCCTCCTTATGTTAATCAGCTCTTGTCATCATTTCACAGAGATAAATAGAAACTCTTTCTTCCTGAAATGGAACAGAACACAGGAAATATATGAGACCTCCATTCTTGCCTCAGATACTGTTTGTGTCTTAATTGCCAACCCATATCAAGCCACTTTCTCACCACTTTACTAACTGTGGCAAGCTTCTGGTCATTTTAAACTGTTTCCCGCATGCTATTAGGATAAAGTACTTATGCATTTTATTCAACTTCAAAACTTCAAGAGTGAACCATTGAACTCATTCTAAAAATGTCTCCATCTTTAGAAATTCTTTATGGCTATAATTTGTAGGTAAATCTGATTAGTGGACATGTGGTCTTGGCAATACAGAGAAAATTCAAGTAATTTGTAGTTTTCTGTTCATTCTTGGTACTCTTTGTATAAAATGTAACATGAATGGGGGTTGAAAAACTGATATGAAATTGGCCAGTTACAGGCATGTAAAATGTAATAATTCTGGTAGGGATGAAATAGAAATCCAGAAATCTCTATGCATAGCCACAGTGAACTTTGCCTGGTGATATTTTAAGTTAATGTCCAGGAACAATTGGAAGGCCCTTTATCATTCGAGCATCGTTAGTGCTGTGTTTGGGGATTGTTGAGATAGTGTTAATACACATTACCTTTTAAGAGAAAGTTCCTCTATATGAATGGTTTCACTTGATATCTTTTCCTTTGCCATTTGGTATTATGAAATGCTGGTTATGAATAAAGACGCAGTTACGCTGATTTTTAAAATTTAGACAGCAAGAACCATAGTCCTTTTCCCAAAAGAGAATTTGTGCATTATGTCTATACCCGAGGTCAAGTGGATCCTCACTCCTGTTTCAGATGGTTTAGGCCAGGTCCTTAGCTTAAAGAAAAACAGCTTTTGGGGGGAAAGTATATTTCTTCCTTGGTGTGTCAAGAGCCCATCACAGTGTTAAGTTTAAAAAAGAATAGAAATGGTGAAGCGCAATGTTTCCGGAAGGTGATCAGCTGGTCTCTTTCCAGCTAGAGGCTCAAGACCCAGTTAATCTGCAACTTGGCCTGCTCAGTTGGCTTTTTCTGTCCTCTCTTTTAAAGTTTCTGACCACCACTTCCTGTCCTTATTTTGAACGCATGAGTTGAGGTTCAACTTATATTATCAAGGTGTCCCAAGCTCCATTTTTCTGAGAATATTTTGCTGCCTTAAATAGCCCTTAACAGAAAACAAAACTTAAGAACCCTGCAGTCAGGACATCTATGTGATGGGAAGGGCTGGGGATAGGGAAAGCACATTCAGGGAAGGCTGAGACTTCCTCTAGACCAAGGTTCTTAACCTGTGCTCCTTGGACAGTAATGGATCTCTCTGAAATCATTTGCAAAATGTTGTGTTTTTATGAGTCCTTGGTAGATGGTTCATAGCATGCATGGTAGATGGTTCATAGCATGCATCGTTTTCTCAAAGGGTTAATTAAGAGCCACCATGCTGGAGTATATAGGCCTGGAATTTTAAACTTTAGCATTAGCTCTTTTTAGTTTCCAGTTCTGAGAAGCACAAGGCAAAGGACCCTCTAATTGCAGAGCTATATCCATGCCCCAGTTTTTCCTTCTGAAGGAAAATAGATTTCTATTTCCCTCCACCATAAAACACCTGTGATTTGGGTAAAAAGGTTTCTTTAAAGCACTGATTATATATCTTTAAAATAATCTTCCCCCAAAAGATTTTTAAAGAATAAACTATGCAAAGTCTGTAGCTAGGGCACCCTAATGTCTTTCAGAAGGCAGATAAACATATAACAATCTATTCCTGCAATTTAGCTGTGGAAAAATATGGAGGAAAAAGAAGTCCCAGAGAAAACCAAGTAGTTACTTGGAAATAGCCATGATTTTCCACTCTACAAAAAGGAACAGTGATATCTATAAAACTTTGTGACACCTTTGAAGAGAAGCCTCCTACAAACTCATAATTCAGTCAGTCATTTGTGAATTTCATGTGAAGCTTTACATCATAGCCTTTTATATAGATGGCAGCAGAGTGTGTAATGGCTAAAAGTAAAGGTTGGTATCCTCCTGCTTCAGTTTGACTCCACAGTTTCTCTCTTACCCAGACTGTGATCCTGGCCCAGGTAACTGATCTTCTAAGCCTCAGTTTCCTCTTCTCTAAGCTGAGAATAATAATACTTTGTAGGTTTGTGTAAAAATTAAACAGAATAAGACTTACAAATTGTTTAGCACCATGCTGAGTACACAGTAGGTGTTTAATAATGTTAATTATTAAACAAAATAAATATTAAATAAAATAAATAAATAATGTTAGCTGCTATACACTGAGGATTCAATTTCCAACAGAAAACAAATTGCATATTAATGATCAGGAACTGAATTCTGAAAGCCCAAAGTCAGTTGTTTTATTGACGAGGCCTAAGTGGGTCTTTTATCCTTAAATGTGATAAATGAATAGGTTTTAGTTAGGTTCTAAAACATTAGTTCTCAACCTTGGCTGCACATTAGAATCACCTGGAGGGCTTTTCAAACCCCTAACACCCTGATGTCCAGACTAATTAAGTCAGAGTCTCTGAGGCAGGGAGCAAGGCATCAGAATAGTTTTTAAAAACTGCTCAGGTGATTTCAGTGATCAGCCACATAAAATCCTCATTTGTTCTAAAGTTCCGAACCTACTTTGTAGTTGCATTAAAGATAGGAAGGTCGTTCAAATAAACAGTACCTGGTCAGTGCCAAGATGAAGTTTTCCATGGGAGGCTCCTTCTACACAAGACAATGCTAGAATAGCGCTAATTCTCATCTGCGCTGCTTTTATAAATGTCTCAATGAGCTCTTAGCACAGCCCTGTAGAGAGCCTGCCCCGAGGAATTAAAACTCACTTGACTCATTTGGCTTAACACTAGGTATTTTTCTCATAACAAATATATTAGTAGTGTATGCAGAAAAATATAACTGATGCCTTATTAATTCATTACCTTATATTCCTTGTGGCATCCTTTCATTAAAAACTCAGGACTGGCTGCAGGGAGAGGGGAATGTGCAGTTATTGTCTATGGGAGAGGGGAATGTGCAGTTATTGTCTACGAGGTACTGAATTTCAGTTTAGGATGATGAAAAAGCTCTGGAGATGATGGTGGTGATGTTTGCTGTTCGGTGTTCTTTTATGTTATGTTATGGTCAGTCAAGTGCATCCACAGGAGGAGACAGGAGAAGCTCAGGAAAACAAGGCACGGCACACCATGTGGGGCCACATAGAACAACACCAGGATCAGCTAGGAGGATGAGGGGGCGGGAGGGAGGGGTGAGCCTGGGCCACTGCCTTTATTGGGGTTTCCACAGGAAAGGCAGGGCAGGGTGAACAGTTAAGGGTTGGTTAGTTTGAATAATTTCAGCAGGCTCTAAGCCAGAGGGGTGGTCTCTAGTTACCTGGCTCTGGCCCCAGGATGATTAAGGCAGAGGAATATTGCCTTCTGTACATACGAGCCAGGCAAGCGGGGCTGGCTCTGGAATGGTTAGTCTGTATATCAAAGACATGCTCCCAGCGGAGCTTTTTGCTATCTCTAAGAATTAGCTAGCCCTGCAGTCCCCAACCCCCTGGTACCTGGCCTGGTACCAGTCTATGGCCTCTTAGGAACTGGCAGCATCACCGCCTAAGCTCCCACCCCCTACCCCAACCCCATCGTGGAAAAATTGTCTTCCATGAAACTGGTCCGTGGTACCAAAGAAGCCAGGGACCACTGAGTTCCAGGAAGGACAGTCTTTCCCCAGCCAGAAAAGTTTTTAAGATATAAAAACATCATAATATACAGAAAAGTAAAAATTTTATAAACAATATAGTTGCACAACAATGTAAATGTGCTTAGTGCCACTGAATTGCACACTTGAAAATGACTAAAGTGGCAAATGTTATGTTTATTCTACCACAATTAAAAAAAAAAAACACAAAAAAACCAGGATCCACAAGATCAAAAATGGTACTGCAGGCAAAAGACAAGAACCAAGAGAAAAAAATGGGGAGGTAGAAAACAAAACTTACATCAAGAACTTCAAGGGTCACTGAAGTATGTTTCTTTTCCAAGTGTAAAAGAAGGAATTATCTTCTACAAAATATCAGCCACTACCTGAGGTGTAATTTTAAGCAATTCTAAAAACTACCCAGCATAGTGGATGAAAAGGAAAGGAAACAGTACAGAATTGCTTCATCCTCTAAAACCAAATTTCACTTCTCGTTACTCTGTCACACTGTCAAGAGATCAGAAACGCGATGTGGGTTATTCTCCCCTGAAAACCTGACTCATCTTCATGTGTGAAGCTGGGCTGCTAGAATGCTGAGCCCTCTGCCCTGCCTGTGTTGGCTAGTAAATTCAGCACCATCATGTTCTCTGGCTAAACCAGATCATAAGCTCAGCTGCAGACTTTTTCTACCACGGAGTGCTCAGTTATTAATATGTGTGCACATGCGTGTGTGTACACTAATATATTTTAATCTATCAGTATAATATATTTTAATCTATCATTATCCTGAATTTCTAACTTCTGAAATCACTTGAATATACCATCCTGGATATTTTTCATCCATAATAGTTTAACTGGCAAGAAAACTATTGTTTCATTGCATATCCACATCTAACTTTCCTCTTCTCTCTATAATCTGAGAAACCCACCATCAATTCTTCTTTTTCCTTACTCATCTGCCAAATCTTTTCTCCATTCCCTATGCCAAGATTCTCTGGCATAAACACCTATGGCTGCCAAACCTTCCTGCTATTGTCCTAACATAAGCAACCCAAAGGTGACTACTCTTCTCCCTGTCTGCAATTTACTTTGTATATCCAGTTGCCAGATGCCTGCAGAGTAAGTACTAGGAGAAAGGAAACGAACTGTTCCTTCTTCTGGAAAAGGAAAGTGGAGGAAAAGAGGGGATAGCTCCCTAACTCACAGACTGCCATAGTAAGAAAGTCCCAGGAGCGTTATAAAGAACTGGTCTTAAATGACTGCATTTGTTTTCCTCTTTTCTAAATGCTAAATGGAAGTGTTTGATCTTTATCAATCATGTATTCTTCCATTCTTCCAATCTGACCAAAAAGTTGTGCTACTCCCTGAATGTCTAAGGAGTCAGGTGAGAGCTGTCATGCCGGTTTGAAAACACCGATCCACATATAAAGAGGTGTCAGATTTCTAGTGTTCAGGACACTGTTCTGAAAAGCTTTGCTCTAATACAGGTCTGGATGTAGCACACAGTAAGCACTGCACTGGTGTCAAGAGAGTTGTGTCCTGATTTGGCCACTAACCAGCCCTGGGTACTTGGGCAAGTCACCTAACTTTTCTACATCCAGTGTGCTCATTGGTAAAATGAGCACAACTAGCATAAAATAACAACTAGCATGGTGGAGCACTGTTCTGAGCAGCTCACACACGTTCGTTCCCATCATCCTCCTAGCAGCCCTATGAAGTAGGTATGTTGTTATTATTGCCCATTTTAAAGATATAGAAACTGAGGCACAGAAGTTTTAGTTTTCCTGCCATTGGTCCCAATGCTCTATACAGAGCTAAGATTCAAACTCAGGCAATCCAATGGCCAGAACCCATATTCCTGCTGTTGGTGCTCTGTTGCCAACCCTCTCTCACTGAATTGTGATAATTAGATTTAGTATTTGGAAGTAAATGGAACATATGATTATTATAACTTTCTTAAAGTTCACCTCCTTGTCCATGAAAAAGAGACAACAGTTGAGAGTTTTTCTAAGGAGTAGAGATAAAACAGATTTAGTACCCAGAACAATTCATGACACATATATTAGGTTACTGAAAAATGGGAGCTACTAATATTATTGTCAGTTTTTATTAAATGATTCTATTCTAGGTGCCAAGAAAAGTTTTTTCATTTCCCTCCATTCCCAATGAAAAGACCAGGACCATTGCACATGGTGTTAATATTAATTATAATCTACAGAAAACATGCTTTCATTGAGTTCAAGGGGCAAAAATGCATTAATTGTGTTATAATTTACATATTAGTTACATATGATTTTGCCTCCCTACCCCACCCCTCATTCATCAAACACAAAACATAGTTTTGCTTTTAAATCTCAATAAATAGCATAGGATCTAAGCCTGTTTACTGCTACAATGTAAAACTAACATCATTTTTCCCCTTTGCTTCTTACAGATTTTTGCATATATGAATGAAACCTCTTCCCGAAAGGAAAAGTGGGACCTTCAAGCTCTTAGATTTTTATCAGTTAATTCAATAATTGACCCTTGGGTCTTTGCCATCCTTAGGCCTCCTGTTCTGAGACTAATTCGTTCAGTCCTCTGTTGTCGGACTTCATTAAGAACACAAGATGCAGCACAGACTTCCTGTTCTACACAGTCAAATGCCAGTAAACAGGATGACCTTTGTAGACAGTAGTTAAAAAGTGCTTAGTTATTGAACATCTGGAAGATCATTTTGAAATGGTTCCTTAGAGAAATGAAAACACTTATTGTATAAACAAAATGGACCTACTCTAATAAAAAGGAGTAAACAAACAATTAAGCAGGGTCATGGCTACAGGCGTGCTGACAAGACACTTCATGGCAGGTGTCAGAAAGATCTATAAAATCTTCCCTCAATGAGCATGTTACTTGGCCTTTAGAGGAACACTCAGCCACCTTTAAGATCCAGTTTCCTTTTGATTTATGCTTTTCTGTTGAATGACAAAGCATGTGGTTTTGTAATTCATGTAAAACCCTAAATGGTTACTGTCTTTTGTATTTTAATATTCTATGCTACTGCTGTTATAAACATACCGTGCACAGACTAGATAAATCTTCATATGCATTCTCTAGGAAGTAGATGTGTGGAAGGAACCAAGCTTTCTGTCTTATGATTTCTTAACAAACTGTTTATTTGGACAATGAAGTTGAAACTCATAGGTACCTTTTACTGTAATGTTTGTGTATATGGGAGTATTCTCATCACTACAGTATTACTTTTACTTACAAGAGTGGACTCAGTTGGTTAATGTCAGTTTTGTTCATTCATCCTCCTCAAGTTATGTATCAAATTGTCAGATTATTTATTTTATAATGTCTACTATGCTAATGGTAATCAAGACTTAAGGAATTTTCCTCTCAACAAGAAATAATAGAAAGGTTTCAAGACAGTTAATTCCTATTAATACTCTTTATTCTACTTCCAAGGGAGAATATATGTGGCTATGTCTGATGCCATGTATTAGGAATAAAAACTGAAAAAACCTGGTTCATTCTTCAGATATACTGGAACTCTTTTAATGCTCAGACTGGGGCCATGAGTAAAATACACTTTATAAGATGACTGTGTTGTAGTAAAATTCATCTGTCTATATTTAGGGAACATGGTTTGACTCATATAGGAAATCATGTAACAGTGAGTCATATCTTAATATATTTCTAAATGTTTGGCATAGTGTGAACGCAGCATCAAATATTTCAGTGAATTTGCACTGTTTAATCATAGTTACTGTGTAAACTCAACTGAAATGTTACAGAAATAAACTATAAAACAAAAATTTGAAAATGGAATAGTATGTGATAAACTATCCCCAATCACATTTTACAATTAATGCAGACATAGTACCTTTTAAATGAAATCAAAGTAGAAAAATTATATTTAATTTGGCGGATTTTTAAAGTGTGGTTGCCAGGTTTTCAAAAGTGTAGTTGCATTGTAAGTTAGAGTTTAAAATATTCAGTATTGTTCTTGCTATTAGAAGGTATTTTTTCTTTCAGTTTTTACACTTCCAACATGATCTTTAAAATACTAGAATTGCCTTATTTTTTGCAGTGTTATTATAGGGTAGCTGTTATTTTTAAAAAAGGGGGATGTTATTTTTTCCCAAAGTCTCTTTGGGTTGTTTATTCAAACCCACTTCTTATAAGCAGTTATCAAACTAGATGATCACTTAGAATGATTCAAACCAATCTAGTCATCAGTATATTTTGATACAAACAATCTATGTCAAATCAGCTCTTATTTTTAAAAAGAATAAATAAATGGTTTGCTTTTCTACAAGTTTAAATGAGTCAGGCAAAATTTAACTTAACTAAAATCTGGACATGTAAATAAATCTTTCCTGTCCACCAGGCATTCTAAAGTTAAAAAATTATTCTAAATGGAACTAATTAGGCCCATGGGTAATTCCTAAACATAAAATCCTGAAGTTACTTTGAATCTGGAAGACTGATTCCTTTTATCAGATTACTTTTTTTCTCCAAATGAAAATGTCAACTACAATCCCACAACCCACCTCACCACCCCCCCAAAATTCCAGAATAATGCCTGAGAACTAAAAAGGAAAAAAAAAAAAAAAGGAAAATTGAACATAATATCACAGGTGGGAAGTGGGAACAAAATGATTCAATCTAGGAGCCCAAAATATAAGAATTTAAGTCCCTTAACTAAGAACTGGAAGATTTCTGGAACTTTGTTTCCTCATGCACTACTGTCCCATGCCTTGTGTTGAATGACTAAATCCTGTTATTTCATTTGCATCAATAAATACATAGAAGGAATTGAAAGTAAAAATCCTCTGTAGTAGTCAATCACCTATTTATGGTCTTTTAAAGGTAACTTAGAAAACAATTACTAAGATTAGACATGTAAATATTTCCTTTCTAATAATCCTATCACGTCAGACCTATTTAAGTTATCGATTCATTCTCAAGTGAAATACAATAAGCAGAAAATAGCCTGATCAATTAGAGAACTGAATTGTGATAAAAGAACTAGATTTTATTCTTTGCCCCCAATAGTCAGTGGATTGAAAAAAGAGAAAGAAACTATAGCAGATACTTATCTCAGAATACCAGCCCTAACCTTAGGTGTTCAGATATGGGATGGACCCAAGCAGTGGGCTCTTAGCTGAGTTGTTCCTAGAAACATCTTTTTCAAGAACTGGGAAATTCTGGTGCTAAATTGTGGCCTTGAATGTCCAAAGACCTAATAGGGATCTGAGTTTGCTTAGAAGTGATAGAAAGCCTCCAGAAGACCTGCATCTCAAAATTGTTTAAACCCATGACAACCTAGAACCAGACCCAAGGTCAAGAAACAACACCAACCCCAAACCATGATGCTTGCAGAGGGCTCAAGCCCTGAGAAAGGAGGGCAGATCCCATCCACGTCACTACATTCTCAGGATAATTCAATTAAACTTTTGGCGTCCCTGTTTCCTCAGTGCACTTTGAAAGAGGGATTGTCCTAATGCTAATGTGAAGTTAGCTTTGATTTGAACCAAGAAAAAAACAACATATTCAGGTTTTGAATTTGATGACTTTGAAAGGCAGGCGAAGACAATTAGCTCTCACTTAGGCTGGGGTTTGTTTATTTCACTTAGCTTAAACCAAATCTAATGGTTTTCTGAAATTGAAAGGAGCCCCTATTTGAGTCATTCACAGAAAGAGAATCAATATTTCATGCATGTGAACTTATAATACCTACTCTTACAGGCTGTGCTGCAATTTGAATATTTGATGACTGTCTTCTGCCTTCACCAAACACTTAACTCCATTGGATTTCCTCTCTGACTGCATCTTTATAACATACTACCAATCACCTAACAGCAATTGACTTTTTGAATTTACAAAGCATTTTGATCACCTGAAATACACACTATAGAAAGAAGTGTTATTTTAGCAATTCACAAAAGCTAGCATCTAATTTATATATGTGCCAAAGCCATGTATTAGGCATTACTTATTTCAGAAAGTTACTCTTTATTTTTTTCTGTTAGCTTTTGTAATTTTTTTTTATTCTAAGTAAATTTTCTTGAATTATATTATTTTCTATAAAATGTATGTCCTTTTTTTTTTTTCTTTTTTTTTTTTTTTGAGACGGAGTCTCGCTTTTGTTGCCCAGGCTAGAGTGAGTGCCGTGTCATCAGCCTAGCTCACAGCAACCTCAAATTCCTGGGCTAAGGCAATCCTCCTGCCTCAGCCTCCCGAGTAGCTGGGACTACAGGCATGCGCCACCATGCCTGGCTAATTTTTTATATATATATATATATTAGTTGGCCAATTAATTTCTTTCTATTTATAGTAGAGATGGGGTCTCGCTCTTTCTCAGGCTGGTTTCGAACTCCTGACCTCGAGCAATCTGCCCGCCTCGGCCTCCCAGAGTGCTAGGATTACAGGCATGAGCCACCGTGCCTGGCCAAAATGTATGTACTTTTAAAGGTCAATTTTAGTGGTTTAATTCCATGATCCACATATTTCATAGCACATGGTAAGTGCTAATACAGTTAGGGATTAGCATCATCTTAGATGCCCAGTTCAGTGTCCACTCTAACCACTTCACACAGTCCTGGCTCAGATTTCTGATTCTTGGTGTTGGTAGGGGTGGAGCTATCTATTTTTTTTTTTTTTTTTTTTTACCTCTGGATAACTGTCAAGAATGTTGATGATAATACACATATGGGACGAGTTTGTATTTCAGACATTGCAATGAAGATCAGTGCACATGGGAGAATGCAGAGGAATGTGTGGGCATAAAAGACAGGGGGACAAGAGAAAGAAAGACAGCATAGCACAGGACACCTCACCATTTGGTGCCCTCCTCCAGATCTTCTCCAGTTATTAATGCCAGAACCAAATACCAATAATTCTAAACCAGTCTCACAAGTACTGAGTGCAGATATATCAGTTCCTGGCTTGATGTGGATATTGTGTTTCTATTAATGCAACCTGAGATTACAAACCTTTCTCAGAAACAAGGTTGTAGCTTGATAGCTTTCAACAAATGAAAGAAGCAACAGCATTCCACTTTACACAAAGGAAAATTGGGCATGCCGGGGTGAAGTGGGTTAGTCACTAAGGACATCCTCCTAAGATGCCCTTGTGATTATGGTGCTGATCTTGCCAACCTGAGACCACACAGTCATTTGGTTTCTCTCTTGTCTTTAAGTTCTTAGACTGGCTCTGTACACTAGGGATGGGGAGCTTTGGGCTTGTCAACTGAACCTGGTCTTTTGGGTTAATAAGTTGACGCGTCAGGTGATAGCACTATATGGTGATATAGAAGTCAGTGTCCTACCCCAGAGAACAGAAGTTCCCTTGAAAATGGAACTGGCTGCTCTTAGTTATCAAATGATATATTTACTTGGCCAATACTCATCTCATTCCTAAGAGTATGCCTGATACATTGTGAGAAATTAAACATTTAAAAATTGCAACAGCTGTACGATCAAGACTTTGAAGACATAGTTGAGACTATCTTTCAGCTCTTAGAGAAATTTCTCAGTATGTCCACACTGTGAAGAGTTCAAAGGAGGAACAAGCCGAAAAGCCCTAGACTTTTGAAAATCCAACATTAACTTTTTATGTTTTTAAAAATATATGTCCTCATGTTACTCGTAGAATGAAAGGTACAATAACCAAAACACTGCAGGCTGCATGCTGTGGCGTACTACTCTCTGACCTGTAAAAATAGATCTTTCTGGTATGAGTAGGCATTCCGATGAAAGGAGACCATGCCTAACTATAATATAAACTAGAGACCTTTATTCTCTTTACTACCTATTATGGTGATTCGAGTTGGACGCCCACTCTGAAAGGAAACACTATTTCAGATGTTCACATCTTTCCATGGCATGCCAGTTTGAAAAACTAAGGAAGCTGAAGAGTCAGATTCCCATCTTCATTCTACAAATTTCTTTGTTCTCAATGAAGTTATAGTGTGTTACAAAGAAATACTAAGCAGGAAAACACAATTATCCTGTGTTATCAGTATTAAAGTATTTTTCAAATAATAAGGCCTTGCCTTTATCTATTTGAGCACATTAAAATACTACTAACTGGAATCCATTGTAACAGGAATTTTGGATTAAGATACAAAGCACATGCGGGAGACAGCTTGCTAACTTTATTTTTAAACTAACACAGTGAAAGGGTAAGAATGATGAAACTGGGATTGGGATGCAGACATCTACAAGGTGAGAACTTCCATCTAGACGAGCTCTATTACCTGGGCCTCCTCTCCCACCTCTCTCCCCTGCTCATTGATGCCAGCCACACCGGCAGCCATGATGCTGTGCCTGGGGTACACCAGGAAGCTCCCATCTCAGAGGCAGTGCCCTGGCTTCTGTCTCTTCCTGCAATAAACAAATGCTCTCCCCCCAGATTAGCCGTGGCTCGCTTCCTCACCTTCAACAGTTTGCTCCAGTGATGCCTTCTCAGTAAGGCCTTCACTGACCACCCTTCTTAAAACCGTACCCCCCTGCGCTCCCCTTCCCCTTTATCCTACTTTATCATTTCCCCATTGTCGCGCCCGCCTCGCCAGCAAGGAAAACGCGGCAACCGGAGTTCTTCTGACAGCGCTTTAATGGGGATTGCTTAACTGGTTACACGCGGAGACGCCGAGGCGTTCTCAGCGGCTGCTTATAAAGGCAGTAAGTACACTGGGCATTGTCTGATTGGATAAGGCACTTGGAAGGGAGGAGACAAACTCTGCACATGCGCTGAGCACTTGTTTGTCAGACTAACAGCAGGGTTTGACCAGGAAGTGGGCGCCATCTTGGAATGGCGTTGCCACCGGGCCCCACACCCCATAGGAATGACCTTAAACACACCTCAAGATGGACTAAGTGTTCATGATCTGTCTCCTCCAGATAGAAAGTGAGCCCCAAGGGTCTTTTACTTTGTTTTGATGTCTAGTATTATGGTATCTTACACTTGCCAGATGTTCTATTCACTTAGAATTGTTTCTTATACATTCCAAGGCCTTCTTCTATTTTTTATTTGTTCAATATATTCTTTTTTAAAATTTATTTTTATTTTTGGAGAGATGGGGGTCTCACTATGTTGCCCAGGCTGGTCTCAAATTCCTGGCCTCAAGTGATCCTCCTGCTTCAGCCTCCCAGTGTGTTAGGATGACAGGCATGAGCCACCACACCTGACCTACTCAGTATATTCTTCTAAGAGTATTTTGAAAATGATCGCATACCATGTTTTGAGTGTTGTATATATAAATCTCACGTAGTCTTCAAAACAACACTGTAAGGTAGGTATTGTCCCCATTTTACAGATAACAAAACATATTCAAAGTTAAGCAAATAACTCAAGATCACACCACCTTAAGGGACACTAAAAAAAACTTAAATCATTTTTAATTTCAAGCCCAGGGATCATTCCGTTGACCCCACACAATGGAGATCTATAATGGCCCTCTATTTCTGACCATATTCCCCTGGAATGCAAATGCACCATATTTGTGCTACCTAGGATAGTGTCTGGTACGTAGTAGGTACTCGTGAATATTTGTTGAACGAATGAATGAATGGCTCATGTCAAGGATAGAATCTCTGTTAATTTCTGAAAGACTTAAGA